GTTTTCGAGAAAATCGACTTTGAATTTTCGCTCAGTACGCGTGCACTTTATCGCGTCTCGTTATAACGGATCTCACTGTAGATCTCAAAAAAATAAAAAAAAAAATTTTTTTTAATTTTTATTCTTTCTTGACAGCACAAACGTTATTGCAAACGTCTGACCTAACACACCCTACTAAACCAAATTTCACACGTTAACGACCAGTGAATCAATGAATTCAATACTTCTGAACTCATGGTCATATGGAAGTCATAGTATTTAGGTTGTTGAAATCATTTTAATACCAGCTGTGGTACCATGAAATCAAAAATACATCGTGCTATTTAAAAAAAATTAAGACCTTGATTAGTTATAGAAGAAAGCATTTGCCTGTGATTTTAAGTTTGCATCTTGTAGTTCAAGCAACGTAATTTGTAGCTGATTGGAAGCAGATTAGCTTTCGTTTATGACATTTTTTTGCTACGTAGTCGCAAGTGCTTCAAAAATAGCGCACACAATTTCGCAGTACACACTGTATACATATACAGGGCGTTTCGCTTAACTGGGAACGGTAGAATATGACACGAGGGATTAAAGTTATCAAACGTTTAATTATCAATGTTTTAAGAGAAGTTGTTTGACTCGAAGGGGGACATCATGAAAATCATTCTTTTTTTTGCAGATCCAGTAGCAGGATGCAAACTTGTAAATTGCAAACGATACAAGGTATCAAAAAACAGTTCGAAATTTGAAACTTCTCCAACGATTCAACTATTCACGTAGAGACTACACTATTCACGTAGATATCAGAGATACGTAGATATACAGGGCGTTTCGTTTAACTAGAAACGGCAAAATATCTCACGAGGGATCGAAGTTATAAAAAAATATTCGAAAAAGAACATCATACGGTGGAGATCAGTTTTTGCAGTAATGAAAGGGATTTCAAGATCAACTTATTTTTTTACACTAATCGATCCATCTCGGTATTTCCTATAAAAAATGGTATTAACCTATTTATGTCGAAAAATTATTCGTTTGGCAGATATTTTTACTTTCATTTGACGCGTGAAAGACAATGAAAGACGAAAGACACATATACGTTGTAACGTATGAAAGCCAAAGATAATCCGAGATGGATCGATTGATATATTAAAAAATGTATGATGTCTTCTTTAAAAATAAAATTAACCTTGAACCCTGGCCCCCACTACTGGATCTGCAAAAAAATAATTTCCACCGTCTGATGTCCTTCAATTAAGTCAGATATTCTAACATTTTCAGTTAAACGAAACATTCTGCATAGCTACGTGCCGAGTGTAGTTTCTAATGAACAATTGAGTTGTTAAAAAATTTTCGAATTACAAAGATTTTGAACTGTTTTTTGATATCTTGTGTCCTATTAAGATATGTATAATTTTGCGTGCTAGATTAGATTGGTCTCGTAGTAGTGACACACGTATGTGAATATGAGTGTGTGGAAGTATGTGTGTGCGCGGCGTCTAAAAAAACAGATGAATGTAACTGTTCCGTTGGCTGTGTGGTATGGAAAATGGTGAGACATAGAGACTGCTGAGATGCGCACAAATGTATATCGACGAAGATCCTGGAAATCGTTTATTAAATAAATCTAAAACTATTTTATTACGAATTCTAAGTGTAACCTTTAGTCTTATTTCGGCAATTAAGATCCACAATTCTCAATATGTCCTTTACAGGAACTTAAATAATACCTGATACTACAATGCAATATTCTCTTTTTAAAGCAAAAAGGTAGCACTAACCAAAATTAATAAAATTCCTTGGTTGATCCACTGAACAACTGTGCAACGTTTCATTACAATCGACGTGTATCGACTATCGATGTTCCTTTCTAACTGTAAGTTAAATTCTACGCGTAAACAAACTCGAAGATGGTATCCCGCTGGGTATAGCCATCCACATGTTAATTAATAATAAAGTTAAAAAAGATTACCGAATGTCCAGCTAGATAAATTGTAAAGTATAAATTAAATTAAAAAAAAAAATTCGTCGCATAGGAGGAGCGAAAATGTTTTGTACTCGTTTTAGAAGAGGAATCCAGATAAAGTAAAAAAGAGTTGGAAAAGAGTGAGAGGGAGAGAGGGAGGGAGAGAGGGAGGGAGAGAGGGAGGGAGAGAGGGTGGAGAGAGGGAGAGAGAGGGGAAGGGAGAGAAAGATAGACAGAGAGAGGGAGACAGAGAGAGGGAGACAGAGAGAGGGAGACAGAGAGAGGGAGACAGAGAGAGGGAGACAGAGAGAGGGAAGCAGAGAGAAGGAGGGAGGCAGAGAGAGACAGAGAGAGAGATGGGGGAGAAACAGAGAGAGCGAGAGAGAGAGAGAGAGGAAAAGGGCAGAGTGTTCAATTTTTCTCGATGCCTAATCGGCTCGGGTCTTTGACATAATCGTGTCGGTCCTCGGGGAGCATTCTAGCTTACGCTTTAATAAAGTCTCTTCCTTCGCCTCCGAAGAACGACCAAGGAGACGCTTCGAGGGAAAAAATAAATTTCCCCGCTGTTTTGGAAACGGCGAAGGGAGTTGGTTCTTGGTAGCTGTGAAAACTCGCGGCAATTTCTGGCATGGAATGACGATCAAAGTCGATTTACGCGGCCTCGAGTATCATCGCTATTCTTCAAAAGGAATAATATTCTTTGTCTATCTACGTTGATAAATTCAGAAGGGAAATTTCATTCGACTTCACCATCTTTAATCTTACTTCTTGCTATTTGATGTATCTTCTTAGCTTATTTCTTTCACTATTTCTCACAATGTACAGAACAAAGATACGGAGATATTTAAAGATATCTAAATAAGATATCTAAAGATAGGTAAATATGAAGATATTTTCTTTACTACATATTTTTATCTCACTTTCATATTAAATAAGAGAAATATTTTACGGAAGCATCTTAAAACATTTCAGTAGATTCATTTCCCTAAAATTTATCGTCTAAAAATCTTGAAATAGTGTCAATTATGATTCATAAACAAGGCACCTCGTCGTATCGACTCGAAAAACGCCTCCACATCAATTTTGAATAATTAAGTAAACCAAAGATTTTCTTGATTATAATTTACTTCATTTCTATATTTGTCGCTCTAACGTTCAATGTTTATACTCATGGCAAAAATAATTCAAACTTTGTAAATGTGCATTGCATTTGCCATAAAGTTTATACATATATGCAGGTATATATAACTTTAATTCTAATTGTAATCTATAAGCTCAAACTTTAATTCACATAAAAATGAAAATTGCCAAATATAGTGTAGCTACAGTACTCAACTTTATATGCAGAATATTTACACACAGATCGCCCATCGTAACGTTTGTCAAAAATTGATTTGATTGAGATGAAGAAATTATGTATTATAGACTTCTATAACATAACGTTAGATCCCGAATAAACAAGCGGGGCAGGTAGCTACGGTCACTAAAGCTCAGAGCTGAAGTCGATGCGTTGCGAGTTCGAGTCCTCGGCATTATAAGAATAAATTGTACGGCACAGAAACCAAAATTTCTCTTGAAGTCCAATATACAACAGGCAAGCGGCCAGCCTCTCCCTTGCGTTTGTTGGGTTGTTACTTTCTAGGAGTGCTTGGTTTAAATGTGCTTGGGATAAGTACACAGGGGCCCGACGATTTCACTCGCACTGGTCTACCGTCCTGTCCGTGGAGGTTTTAGCCGGTAAGAATCCGGCACTACCTTCTGCCCGCCTCCGCAGGTGAGGTAAGAAGGTGTCTATGAAGATTTCCTCCACGTTAAAAACAAAAAAAAAATTTTTTTTGCCCCCATGACTCCAGACTCAGGCATGGTGTGTTACGCAAACGACTCATTGGTCTTGACCGGAGAACGGACGCGGGTAGCACGAGACGAAAAGATGACCTCGGGGCTTTCCTACCTATCGTCAGGACGATCACCGTGGAGGTTTTAGCCGGTACGAATCCGGCACTACCCGGCGCCCTCTTCCTGGAAGGCGCGGAGCGCCTATGAAGGTTTCCTCCACGAAAAAAAAGGATTCCAAATAAATAACGTTCCTAATTGGACGTTTAGTTAATTAGAGAAAAATATCTAAGAATAGTCAATAAGTCGTCGATAAAGAGCCGTGCAAGCAATAAGCGTTAAGCCTTACTTTGTTCTCAGAATATTCTGCACCATTCATTCACCTGACCATAGGCATAGTTTTCTCACAATCTAGTCTTTGTAAATATTTTGAACAGTTTGAAATACGCTATAGTCTTGCAAAAACTATTTGAAAGAACAGGATAAGCTGCTCAAATTTCATCCTTTGAAAGTTTTTTTAACATTTATCCAAAACTGAATCCGTTTCTTAATCTAACAAAATTTGTATAATTATCTTGAAAATTTAGCAACGAAGGTCTGTAATCAGATTATATCTGTAATCAGTCAATTTATAAAAGTCCATACAAACGAAGTAAAAAGATATATGTAAACATATGCGTTTTTAGGTTGTTAAAAAAGCTATTTCCTTCTACTCAGTTTCAGTTAGAAAATGTTTATATTATTCGTCTCTTATGCGCTCGAAATATGTTTTATTATGAAACTACATTAGATTTCTTAATTTGAGATGTAGATGTGCACAGCATATAACACCATCTAAAGCATCGTCCGAAAATTGCTCGTCACATATAAAACAGATCACATTTTGATCCGCTTCGCTTTCACTCGATGACTCTATTTCGAATTTCTCTCCGAAAAACGTGTTCCTAACTTCGTCCCCGGCCATCTACATAGGGGCACGACATTAGGCACAAAGCCATTTTTTAATATAATTGCCAGTTCTGATTGATAAATGGCAGGACGAAATGTGACCACTTCGCAATATGAAAATAGAAGCAACATACTATGCATTACCAAAACTAAATGCTAGAATTACGTACTTCAGACGCTGAAATACGACTTCAAATATTAAGAATTCCTCTGTTCTTGCTGTCGCCTAATTAATGGCATTTCTATTTTAATTTCCAATTGCCGTTTGCAGACTGCAGCAATCAATAACAGAGATTAATCAGTGGACGAGATTTGGCTCACTTACCCTATATTGCGAAAAAGACGAAGATTTCTTCGAGAAACGATTGTTAGGTTACCTAACAGATAACAGAAAGATAAGAGAAGTTTTCAAATTTCCTTAACTTTTGCAGATTTTTCAAACGACCAAATACAGCGGAGTCTCGATTATCCTAGTCCCTTTTAACCAAAGTTTCGTATTATACGAGGTGCTTTGAACTATGCCATAACCTCATCCTTTTTCAAAAATTTAACTTTCAACGCGACTACGCAAATGTAAATAGAGAGGTACTGTGAAAACAGTTGATCAAGCTTTCAACTGATTAAATAATTAATTCAACTTAAATACACGCGCAACATTACATTATCAAAATGTTTTCTAAGATTTTATTCTATGCTTTGTACGGTTTATTCCGTCTTTCTACGATTTATGAACGCTAATAGACCTATCCGTATTATCCACGTTTTCGATTATCCGATGTAGGACCGCATCATCAAAGTTATACCGAACTAATAAATTCAGTCGCCCAACTTCGACTTCGAGCGGTGCATAGCAATAAGCCTTAACTCGACGGAATTCCTTAGCAACCAACAAACTGCAAGTTCTTTTAAACATTGTTTGTCGTGTCGTGTCATACGTCTGATAGAAATAACGTCGCGCTCATAACGGATGGCGAAATCCCCGAAGCAAAGGGAGGGTCGGTATTTTCAGCGGAACGCAAACACCGGCAAACCGAACAAATTGGCAAACAGTCAGCGATGTGCAACCGTGCGAAGCAATTACGGATTTTGCGTGAACGACGCGTGCAAACTCTTTATACACGCGCGAAAAGGACCGACAGAATTTCCTTGAGCCACGGCACAATGGCGTAGCCCAGTGGCTTTCCTATTAATTCTGAAAAAAAAGAGGAGAATCAGCCCGTGAATGTAGTGCGTTTCTCACTTTCTTGCAATCAATGCGAGGGCCCATCGATCTAGAAGAATTTCATGTAATAGCAAAAATGAACGATAAAAGGTAGCAAAGGAAGATTATATCGAACAGAAAAAGAATTACTTCGTGAATTCCATAATTTTACAATTCAATTTTGTGTTTCTTTTGTTATATTGTATATTGGGAATGTATATGTATGTTACACTTAGACTTTGAATTCTGTCGGAATTTAATATTCGAATAATTAATTCGACGATTAATTGTATGCTGCTTAAAACTGGTTATTATTTCTAATTAATAATAATTTGGATCAAGAGCTTGTGACCAAGTCATTATGCATAATTGGTTTCGGATAATGATCGGAAAAATATTGCCGGATTTTGGCATCTCACTGTAAGAATAATAGTCAAAAATATATAATAAATATATAATTAATGTACGTAATATAATATCATAACGAAAATATAATAAATATATAATAAAATATATATGAATAATATAAAATATAAATAAGAATATACGATGAAAGTAATAATATATGACAACATTTAATCGGTGCAAGCATCATCCTAGCTTACGCTTGTCAAATTATTAGGTTGTCCGAAAAGTTTCTTTCGTTTTATGAGGAAATAATAGACGCACAACGTTTTTTGTTTTATATTATTTTGTCGAATTACATATGATACATCTTGTTCTGTTGAGATAAACACCGCGACATATCACAGACTTGGTTTCACGTTTGTATGAAGGTGTACTGTTGTAAAAAATACGTTTGCGAAAGAAAAACATTTTCCGAACAACCTAATACATCTACAAAATGATAAATTCGCGTGGACATCCGCAGCCAAGTCGCAGGTCTTTCTTTATTAAAACGACGAAGACAATAGCAGTAATTGTAGAAATATCAATCTGTATTAATTTTAATTAAGCGAGACACCGACATATTTCCGACTAACGTGACGTAATTGTAAATGTGCTCATAATCGTACGCTCGGTGACGAAATGTGTATGGCTGCCTACGCCACTGGCTACCTACTGAACCTGCTTCGAATCAGGAACGAGTGAACAGTAATTGGAGAGCGAACCGACAACAGGGGGATTATACTCGCGTTTCTAATGAGACGACCGAGAACTTGACCCTTGTACAAGTATGCTTCACGCCCTTCTCGAATTTATTTTCGCCGTTTTGCGTTTTAGATTGACGATAAACCTTTTTATACCGCACATATACATATACATGCAGGCTGGCGTCAGATTTGTATCTTTATTTCCCTTTCACGCCACGCGTGTTTCACTGCACGTACTATCATATCGTTAGGAATCTACTTTTTACGGCATTAATACACCGATATTTTCACTAAAATACACTACAACTGGTCTTGGAAATTCCATTATTTTACATCGAAACGTGTTTAAGATGTATTCAATAGTACTGGCTAACTAGTGGAAATTCTAAACTCCGTATAGAAAATAAACTAAAAATCTACAAAATGATAATAAAACCAATTTAGACGTGCGGAATACCGCTATGGGGGACAGCAACAATGAGCCACATAAATAAACTAGAGTCGCTACAATCGAAGATACTGGGAACAATAGTCAACGTCCCACGGTATGTCAGAAACGAGGACATACGCAAAGACTTAAAAATACCAACGGATAAAGAAGAAATCTGCAGGTACGCAGAAAAATACAAGGAAATAACGGCAACACATCCAAACCAGCTGGCTGCTGAGGCGAGCAAAATAGAAAGAAGACTAAAAAGAAAACACCTCACTGACTTCATTAAAGAAATAAAATAGTTAAACTCGACGATGGTGTCCTCTGCTGGGGGTAACCATCCACATGTTATTTAGCAATTAAGTTAGAAAAATTTACCAAATGTCCAGCTGGACAAATTGTAAAGTACCAAATTAAATAATAAAAAAGGAAAAAAATAGTAAATGCTGCTGTTCAATTACAAGCATACGCACAAACATATAATTACAACACTCGAGCCTCGAACATATTCGTATGTTAGCACAACGTTGACTTCTATGTTCTATATTTGAAATAGATGCGGGTGAAACAGTAAAAATGTTTTGCAGTTGTGTTGGACTATTGCAAGAAGCGAGTGTGTGTGTGACTGGGAAAATTTAATCAACGTACTGTAAATGTTCCTTTACGCATGGATTGTAACACGAATGGGACAGGGGCATGGCAATCATTTATTTAGTATGAGTAGCCGATGATTTCCTGCCTTTTCTTTTTTTTTTTTGTTGATTAGCGACAGTTAGTTTTTTGAAGAGTAAATCAGAGATATAGACTTGCCTTTGTCAACAAGAAATTAATTAAATTATATATTTATTACAACAAGAATTATTATATCTTTTTATTTACTGCCTTTAAACAACAGCAGTGTATCGAAGTATAGCCAGAAAGTAAAATACTTTTGACTTAAAACAAACCGTTGTTCAAATATTTTTAAAAAAGTTGACTAAAAGTGAATTTTCATGTCTCAAAAATATTCAGGCGCTTTAGGAATTGATGTTGAGAAAGCTGAAATGGCAATTATTTTGGAGTTTAATATTTTGTACGGTGTCCTTTTTGTTCAATAACATGTTTTAATAAATTTAATACGTCGAAGGTTATTCTTTTATTAGTAATCGACGCAGTATTTTATTCCTTTGTTAAACAAATTTATTATTTTTCCTTAGTGTTTGTTGTTGTTTTCTATTAATTCTACAGTCCAGTTTATTCCATAGTAATAGTGAAATTTGTATAAAAAACTCATTATCTTAGTTTGAGAACATAAAAGTTATGCATCTGTTAATATTTTTTTATGCGCTATATTGCAAGTTCAATTTACCAAATGTCCAGCTGGATAAATTGTAAAGTACAAATTAAATAATGAAGAAAAAAATATCGCGAGTTGTCAATACTTGTTAAGCAAATTGTTTTAAATATGAAAAAACAGCACGACAATGAATGTCTGCACTGAGACAACGTCATTATTATTATAATCAGTCGATCTGGGTTATCTGCAGATGTTTATTCGTCTATTAGGTCAGTAGGCTGTGTTCTTTTAAGCCTACGCGGCATATATCGATCGTATGTGTTATTGACTAACATATTGATTAACACGAGTTTCTATTCATTCTTTGTAACTGATGATTGCTTTAATTATTTCTTTCCTTATTGTAATGACATTCAAATTTTTTCTCATTTCTTCGTTTCTAACGAATCGTACGGCGCAAACGATTGGGCGTCAGACAATAGACTGTTGGACCTCAAGTTGTTGCTTTTCGCCGCCACACTCCCATTGTGGCATACAGTTTCGCCTCGAAATAAGCAACACGCTCGAGACAGGCCAGTTGCTTATTACCACATCGCGGATGTTTCTCCATTTTTGGGAACCTTAAGGTTTCAAAAATCAACAGAGCGCATATAATATGCAAAAATATATATTAATTTTTTATTTATTTATTTAATTATCAAGTAATTATTATTTATTTGTTAACTTCAAATTTACTATTTTTATTATTTTTTATTTATTTATTTTTTATTTTAATTTTTATCTAGATTCCGTTTCCTTAATTATATTCATAAAAATATACAAATGCATAAACATCCTCAAGCTACTCATTACGCGAAAAAAGAAGTCGAAAATATAGAATAAAAATTTTTAGTTTGAGGCTTTGTTTTCGAGAAAATCGACTTTGAATTTTCGCTCGGCACGCGTGCACTTTATCACGTCTCGTTATAACGGATCTCACTATAGATTTTAAAAAAAATTAAAAAAAAAATAAAAAAAGAATTTTCATTCTATATTTTCGACTTCCTTTTTCGCGTAGAATCATCCCCTTTCCGCTTGTACTACCAGTTACCAACCACCCTGTATATTCTATTCTCTTTCGACTGAATGATGTCACCGTTCGTTCGACCACAAAATTTATGGCTTTCTATTCGTTTCTGGATCTCTCAGTCTGTCGACAACTCCAAATAAATAAGAGTTACTTATTTGAATTTAGAAACTAGTTGCTTATTTGGATCCAAAAACTAGTTACTTACTCCGACTCAGGAACCAATTGCTTGTTTTGACTCAGAAACCAGTTATTTATTTCACATCAGAAACCAGTTGCTTATTTGGACCAGAAACCGGTTAGTTATTTCGAGGAAAACCTTGACCATATGGCTAGATTAACTTTATTATAATTTTATAGATCTGCAATTTATTTCTCACATCGAGCATTTGCTCTTTCGTCGATCAGCCACGCCACGTATCTCTTTTTCAACCAAATCTGTTTTGGATTTTTACGATAATGTGCCTCTTCCATGTCAATTTGAAGTTCAAATGCAATCCCAAATAATACTAACATGTATCAACTTTTATATTATTATTATTATATTATTATTTATTATATCCATTATTACTATTCGTCGTTATTACTATGGAGAATCGCGATGCCATGAAATCTTACGCTAAACAGATAGTCCCGAGGAACCGGGTCTCGCGTTCACATCCTGTGTACCGTATAATATTCTGTTGCTTTGATGATAGGGCTACAGAAGAACATATCCGGCCTCTATCGAACGGAAACATAAATTTCCGTACGATTTAACTATAGTATGGGAAAAGTAATTTGGCCAGCAATTAAGAGAGAATGGCGAGAGCGGAGTCGAAGCTAGTACAGAAGGTATAGAAAGCTGCTAAATAATATACACATAGCCTTATCCTTCCCTTCAATTATCCCTGCGTACGTTTTTATGCTGCAGCATGATGGTCGGCTCTCGTCATTAGCAACCCGATATCGGATCGGTTGCGAGGGAACCTTTCGCCTTTGATATAGTTTATTTGGATCGTTTAAAGAGGGACAACACAAAATTTTGTTGTTGCTTATCGATTTTGCTCGCTAACGTCTGTGAAAAGCCACCGAATTAATTCTGATGCACTGGCCTCCATCGTTAAAGGTCCTGTCTCGCATTTTTTTCCATTTCATTCAATGTCTTCAATGAAACGTGTATTTTAGGAGCGTCATGATACGAAATAATCGAAAATCTCAGTGCGAAAACCGACCCGAGCAAGTGCACAATTTTAAAAGTCGTGGGAAATTGAATAAAACTGAATCAAATACGACTTGTTTAAGCAATCACGCCAATATTTTGGATGTAAAATGGCACTAATGCGACGAATGATACAGAAAATGATACCTTTTATGTTTTTGAAAAATGTCCCTGGGAAATCTTCCTTGATATTTGGACCTGCCCTGTTCATGTAACAAAATACTGGAAATTTGAAATGAAATATTTCGTTTCTTCGCATCTTTATTTTTGCTTCACCTTTTTTCGTGTTCCATAATCAGTTTCCCAGATAAAACACTGACAACTGATTGGCACGTATTTACTGCCAGGTGATTGATATAATTCTTGTCAGCCCGAAGAAATTTCGAATCGATAAGAAGAAAGACAGGCAATTAATAGAAAAGATTTACTAAACGTTCGAAACACATTGGCTGATAGATTGACGCTACATTAACACCATCGTTGACGCTGTATTTGAGAATAAAAGCCGGGTAAGTTCTGGACATGGCCGATTCTTCTTCCCAAAGATCACATGGATAAGTTCAGGAATTGTTATGAACGCATCGGACTTCTCTGATTCTTGTACCGATCAATCGGCGATGTATAGAAATATATAAAACTTCAACAAGTACAATCTTTGTAAAAGATGGACTTGCCCGATTTTTGTACCGACTTCTTCCATTCTATTCAATTCAATTGAATCCTGTGTGAACATTAAAATTGTCAAGAGGGATTTGAAGGGCTACAATTAGAGAATGACAAAAGTAGTAATTTAGCCATTAGTTTCTAAAGTCTACTATCTTATTCGTCCGAGAACGGGATTCTGTAGTGGCGTGCGAATAAAGAGCAGAAATATATTTCGTGGCATTCGATGCTCATCGACAAATGGACAGTCCTCGTTCATGTAAAGGAAGCACACGGTCGCGTGTACGCATGTTATGTTTGCGTACGTCCTCCAGGGTAACTTCAGAAGTTTACCCTTAATCACGAAATGGACTTGGATTGGAAATGGCAAACTCTCCAGCCCACGCCGCTCAAACTTTAGTTAGTGACACTCGATGCGCTTTGAAGTTGAACGAGCTTTGCTAGTGCTCCCTCTTTCCATCCATGATCGTGCTTATTAGCGAAAATGCCTCGACCTGTTCGACCGATTCTTCCGGTATCGAACAGCTTTCAGATAAAATCAGCCTTTTCACTGACGTAGGACGATTTGAATAATTAGAAACGTTTAATTAAACTAATGTGAGAGTGGCTATATATGTAGATGGGATATTCACTGTTCCTCTTTGTTACATCTATTTGCTGTATCGATTTCTGAATGAAAGAAATTTCTTTGTGCGAGTCTTATTTTTGCCGAAGTTTCGTATTATTCGAGGTGTTTTCAGCTTTAGCATAATTTCATTTTTCCCAAAATTTTAACACGAACAGTACGAAAGTGTTAACAGCCAGATATTGTGAAAGCAGGTAATCAAATTTTCAACCGGTAAGATAATTAATTAAATGTCAATACGCGTACAACATTATACTATCAAAAGTTCTATGAATTTATAAAAGTTTATACGATTTATGAACACTGCGTTAGCTTCATACTCAACGATGTTTTTACTGTAGAGATGTTCCTATTTCAATCAAGATATCTTTTACTTCTCACACCTAGATATGTAATTATATTTGTAACACGATTTTAATATTTTACACTTCTCATCGCTAACTGCAAATCTCTTGCGTGCAAGTGATCGGATCTTTCGCAAATTAGAGAATTTACTTTCAATTACACGCAGGTATTCAGCATTCAGGAATGGCTATTATATAGTGCTGTGAATGATTATAGATTCAAAGACGTTTCCTGCATTATTTCTTCGATGCTTCTAAGAAACCACTGATCATACTTGAATATGTTAAATGAAATTGTTTTTGTAAAGAGAAAATTGAACGCTGTAGGATATCAGATGTTCCATGGCGAATTATTGCCTTTCATAACCGAAATGGAAGGAAAAAAGATAATTTTTCAACGAAACAATGCTCCTCTTGATAAAGCAGTCAGTACAAAAAAGTGGTTTTAAGATTTCTGAATAGAATTGTTACCGTATCCAGCATTGAATCGTAAGCTGATTTCGCTCGAGAAACTGTGAAGGAGCTTTTTAGCAAAAAAAATTTACGATCAGGAGAAGCCACTTATAGAAAATACCTATAATAAAAAAAAAAATACCAATTTAAAGGAAGAATAAAATCCGCGTGGGCGAATATTCAAAACGAAACTTTAAATAAGATTAGGGGATAGCGTACGTAAGAGATTAATAAGAATAATCAAAAATAAAGAAAAATCCATTAAATACTGAATGAAAAGGTAACAAAATTTTATTTACATCGAGTTTATATTCTTGCAGAGCCACAAACACAGTTTTAAGAGGAAATTTCATTTCTTGGAAACTTTGAAAGAAGAAAATCTTAGTTTGTATTTTTGTATTATATTCTAATGTGAAATTATATAAACGGTTTTGTCGATTTCCGGTTTTGATAATACAAAAAATGTAAAAACGAGTCTATGTTTATGACTTATTCACGGCATTGTATAATAACTAGTCAAAGACAGGCTAATTTTAACACACCTAGCGTGGAAATTTCGCCGCTGACGATTATGATTCGCGTGTTAGATTCGGAAGTAGCTGGAATTCTTCTTACTGTCGTAGTCGGTTAGTTTCGTGTCTGATTTCTCGAAGGCTTCCTTGCAATGCAACCCACGCAACAAGAAAAACTAAGAAATCGTGCTCCGTACCATGTTTCCAAAGTTATTATCTGATTCGACATAAATTTCGTATCGCCTGATCGTGTAGCAATTTATGACACAGTTACCCAAGCTTCAATAAAAGTAATTTTCTTAATGTTGCTTAAATTAAGGAATCACAATGGATTGTTTGGCGAAGCTCTGATTCAATTAATGGCGAAAAGAAATGTTACGGGACATGATATTGGAATTAAAAAGTATTAGGTTGCTCCAAAAGTTTCTTTTGTTTTAAAAGGAAATAATAGATGCACAACATTTTTTGTTTTATATTATTTTATTAAATTATGTATGATCCATTTTGTTCTATTGGAACATCATCTTCTTCTATTTTTAATAAAGGAGACGAAGAGTTTTAAAGCTACGTGAAATTAACGACATCTTTCCTGACAGACTAGAAAAATTTACCGAATATCCAACTGGACAAATTGTAAAGCACAAATTAAATAAAAAAGAAGAAGAAGTAAAAGAAAAAAAATCTTTCCTGACAGAAAAAACATCGCATAAAAATAAATGACGTCCTGGGGTATCAAATATTATACTCCGTGCAAATATGGGAAAAGATAATTGGAACTGTAAATAAAGTAAATTGAATTTCTCTGTATTTCTTTTTAATAATTGTCAATATTTTTTACATTTTGCTTTAACGCAAAAAAGTAGTTTATGATACATCACAAAATGTAATGAACCTATATGCAGTAAGCTATAAACTTAACGTATAGGTGTAAAGTTTTATGTGAATTTGCTACAAATTCGTTGTTTGATATTTATTTTTATGTTATAGCGCAGTATTACATGTAGCTCCTTGCAGAAAATATTTTCTACCCTTATCTTTTTCATGCTCCTGTTCTTTGAAATTGCACATTATGCATTTCAAATTATAATACTTTTATAATACTACTTTTTATAATATCTTTTCGCATTATAGGATTTATACGTTATTAAGAAGAATCGTAAAATACTGCACACACGGTAATTTTAAAAAGTTTCTGACCAAACAGTAACTTCTTCTTTTTTTTTTTATTTATTTAATTTTTACTTTACGATTTGTCCAGCTGGGCATTCGGTAAATTTTTCTAGCTTTAAAACAGTAACTTGGAAATGTCTTTCTTAATATCATTATCCATTTAAGACTTTAATAACATTCGTCTTAGAAGGAACTTGGTAAAATTTGAAATATATGCTGCAACTGCTAAAACTTGACAAAAGTAAAATTATATGCTGCACTCGTACGATGCATTAATTTCAAGAATCTTTTATCTCAATGGCATAATGTAGTCCCGACTGCAGCAGAAACTTTTAACAGCCGCTATATCACGATGTAGAGATATTAAAATCTGTAGCGAACATTGTTTATTCATTATTTATTAATAACGCATATACATGCATTAATTGTTGAGGTTTTATCTCGAAATAGAGAGAGGAAATTTTTTTATTATTTAATTTGTACTTTACTATTTGTCCAACTGGACATTTGGTAAATTTTTCTAACTTGATTGTTAAATAACATATGGATGGCTACCACCAGCGAGATACCATCTTCGAATTTGACTATTTTATTTCTTTCATGAGGTCAGTGGGGTGTTTTCTTTTTAGTCTTCTTTCTATGAGAGTTTTGCTCGCTTCAGCAGCCAGTTGGTTTGCATGTGTTGCCGTTCTTCCCTTGTATTATTTTATTATTTATTTATTATTGTTTAGTCTGTGCCTTTCGGCTTTGGACGAACTTTCGGTTTTACATTTCTTATATCTAATTCTCTTCTTATATGTCTACCTCCCCTCTTTTCCATTCTATTCTATTGCACTATCTGGCTTATTCTACCTTTAAAAACTAAGCATTAGGAACTATAAATTATCAACTAATTACTAAAAACTATTGTACCTTTGATATTTGGCCTCCTTGTTGTACCTCCTTCTTGTCGTTTGTCCTTCTCTTCTCTATTATTGCCTTCAGTTCTGCTAAACCTTCTTCAGTCTCTTTCAGCGTTTTTCTTATGTCTTTTGGTCCTCCCGTTATTTCACATTCTTCTATTACATGTTTTAGGTCTTCTTCTTTCCTTCTGCATAGTCTGCATCTTTTTCCCCTCTCTTCTTTCCAGTATTCCCTTCGCTACACATTTCGAATATATTCCACGCTTCGTATAATTCGAAATTCTTCCTCGCTCTGCGTTTCTCTTTAGCTATGTTTCTGTAGTGTATATTATACTTGGATTCCCTTATCCTTTTCCCCTTCTCTTCTGTTTCTCTCTTTCTTCTTTCTTCTATAATTTGGCCTGCTGTCATCCTTTCTTGCTTCTCTCTTGTTTCTATCTGCATCCCTCCTTTTCTCACCTCTTCTAGTACCTTCTTTCTCTTTCTTGCTCTTTTCCCTTCCTGGCCATTCCCCCATTCTCTCTCTCTTTCTTTATGTACTTCTTTACTAATTCCTTTTTTGATTTAAGGGCTTTCTCTTCGTACCTCGCTGCTCTTTTTAATGCTTTTTTTCATTTCTATTAATTTGCATTCCTTTATCAGTATATAATTTGGTGCCGTCCTTCCCTTGTATTTTTCTGCGTACCTGCAGATTTCTTCTTTAACCGTTGGTATTTTTAAGTCTTTGCGTATGTCCTTGTTTATGACATATCATGGGGCATTGACTATTGTTCTCAGTATCTTCGATTGTAGCGACTTTAGTTTATTTATGTGGCTCATTGCTGCTGTCGCCCATAGCGGTATTTCGTACGTCCAAATTGGTTTTATTCTCGTTTTGTAAATTTTTAGTTTATTTTTATCCTGAGTTTAGAGTTTCCACTAATTAGCCAGTACATATGTCTTCTTCTTATTCGTATTTTGTTTATAATTGATTTAGTATGTTGTTTCCATATAAGTTGTCTAAGTGAAGTTATATAGGAAAAAGTTGTGCAAAATACCGATTTCTACAGTATATCCAAAAATCGTCGAAATCGGAGAGTAGTTAGTCTTTCTACAGTTCCATCCGAAGAAGGACAAAGACACAATAAGACGGATGTATAACGTTTCCCAAAATACTTTCAACGAGAATTATACAACTCTGAGAAGCAATGGAATAACCTTTGCGCTCGAGAGGCTATTTTCCGTCACCACGGCGTTTCGTATGGCAATTCGAGAAGACAATGAGAGGTGACAATCCCTATTTATGCTAGATTTCGACCTCTCCAATTGATGAGAGCGCAATATTGCTGCGTAAATAGGTTCCTTAGCTCTTTATATTGCTTGTTATGAAGTGTAAAGTGTTATACTGTAAGATTGAGATGAAATATTTATGCTCAAATTCTTCCGAAACTATGGTTCTGGCAACGTCTGCAACGTTAATTTAGATTCGACGATCGTGGCAGAAGTATTATAGTTTCGTAAATTTAGAAGCTCTAAAAAAATGGATTTGGAAACTTGTTTAATTAATTCATATATTCTGTAAAAAAGCAAAGGAACGAAAGACCACTTAACCACCTGCGATTTATAAAAACTTTAGTAGACCAGTTGAGAGGAGGTATTCGACAGCCGCAAGATCGAGCTTCACGTCGACTGCTAATTGTGATGAAATTCGGTTAAATGAGAAACTCCATGTAATTTTAACAGGAAGAAAACAAAATTGTAAGGTGTGTTTTTACCGAAACAAAGCAGAAGAAGGACACGACACAACTTATAATTGCGATAATTGTCCCGACAAGCCAAGGGATGCATCTTGGCAGATGTTTTATAAATCATCGTAAAGAAAATACAGAAGAAATATTAAAAGATGTTATGTTGAAAGATGTAAATGTATATAAATTATTAAAATATAATGTTTTTTAAGTTAATTTTTATATAAAATCATTTTATATTACCCACAAGACAATCGCAAAATCACCTCGACCGAAAAGGCCGTCGAGTGCAAAGGGTTAAGATTGAAATTTAAAGAAATTCATATAGACGAGAATATCGCTTTTAACAAATTAAAAGTCGATAAAAATTGATAGCAATTAACGAAGAAATGATATTTAGATTTTCCACCGCTCACGATTGCTGATGAGAAACCGTCTTCACGAAAAACCGAGTCATTGAGAATAATGATATATACAGTCCACGTCATAATAGAGTGGGTAGTGCGTAGCAGATGGCACGTGACTCACGCGTTAACCACTCCCGTGATATACTCCGTGAGCCACCCCGTCGCGGCAGCGATTCGTAAATAAATTAGCCTCTATCGGATCTCGAGATAACGCGTTATTTATGGTCAGCTCGTGACGGTGCACCCTTAGGAAAAAGTGGCGGGCCGCAGGTAAAGCTGATCGCTCGGCTCGCTTAATCTTAATGCAATAGAAGGGATCGACTCGGGCCGCTTCGTGAATCGGGGTGCGTTCAGGTAGAATAAGTGGACTTTGCGGTTCGCCGTTTAACAACGATCATTTTTCCATCCACCGCATTGTCGGACGCCGTCAATTTTATGTTTCCTTCTAATTTCGAATCACGATAATTAAGTAACCCATTGAGAATCGAGTACACAATTATTTGCACCTTTTACTATTACAAGGCTACTCAGGTATATGTATCATTGAAAAGTAAGTGAAGAAGACAAATGATAGGAGATGAAATTGAAAAGTTTTGATTTTTTGTTAGAAGATGTTCTACATAGCGATGAGTATATCGTATTACAGAATTTCAATGCAATTTTTATTTCTAAATAGTTATTAATAATGTTAAAAAATTATAACACAACGTGGCCTTTGTAGAAAAAATATAACGTTGTACGTTAGTTAATTGTTTTTAGATTTTTGTCTATGTCATCTATCTAAATGAATTGATCATTGATTTCCTTTTACAGCTAAGAGGTGGCACATACAGGCTTTTCTGCAGATACACTTCTTTTTTATCAATTTGGACTACTTTAAACACATAAGCAGTTTTCTTTTCCTCCTGAAAAACTTGTCTCGTTGCACTTAGGTAATTTTTCACAAACACCCTTCAATTAATATTCCACATAAAAAAAAAAAAGAAATATTACCTTTATAGATATATTTATCATAAGGAGGTAACATAAATAATCGAAGGTAACAAAAATAAATTCCAAACTGAAATGAAAATTCAAAAAAAGAAAAAAAAATAACGTAATTCTCTAAGCTAAAGAGATCTCCTTTCGTCTGATATTTATCTTTCTATAATTCCATCTTTATACTCGTCTTCACGCGTATTTTAATTCTTCAGCATTCAATTCAATTTTCTTCATTTTGCTACGTCCAGGCGTTTCAAGCGAGAAATGCCAAAAGTCATAAACTGTAATTCCACGTAAAAAATTACTTTTCCTACTAATGATGATCGACATATCTCGTGCACCTGGAATGCACACGTTCCAAGAAAAGGGGAGATATATTCGCGAAAATGTCACATCCGATATTGCTTTTAAATTGGGTTTTCGGTCGTGTTTTACGGCGTGTTACGTCGCGTAACACTCTACCTAGCCCAGACTATACTGCGGGCAATATGGCAACCAGATGTCTTCGGATACTCGCAGCGTATCCTCCATAGTTTCAAGTACCTGCCATAAATCTCATAGATTTCCTAGAAAAGTACCTTCAAACCAAAAAAACGTCTGTTTCCGAAGAATTTCCAAAGACTATTGTCTACCACGGCTTGACAAGGGAAAGTTAGTTTTTCTCACGTACGCTGCAACTTTCCTCCCACTAACTACTTTCTCTCGAGGGCGGTTAAGACCCTTCGTTTAACCAATTAACAACGAAGGCTATTCCCTCACTCTCTTAACTAACATCGGCACCAACAAATCCGATGGTCCCGTGCGCTAGACACACCTATCCTTAGCTTTCCTCCGAGACAGCATCGTCTCCCAAGACAGTACTGATTTTACATCCTTCGAACGGTCAACATCCTTCCACCGGGTATACACACCCGCAGATCAGTCACTCACTCATCTCGTACATACGCACCAGTGTAACTACCTACGTTATAAGTTGTGGAATAAACGGTGAAATATAACTTACTACTGTGTCATATTCATTTAACCACCTCTGTTATCTTAACCGAAACAGGGGAACGACTACTTCGCGGCGTCGATTCACCGAATCGTAGCGAGAATTTACGCCTCTTGCTGACGCGTTTTCCTCGCGACCGCGTCTCTCCGCGAACGGTCGTAACACGGCGGTTGAAACAACTCGACGACGTTCTTTCAGTTTAAGTTTTCTTCGAAGAACAGAACTCGGAATAGATGATTGTCCATTTCAACGAATACGAGATAAAATGGTAAAAAGAGGGATAGAATACATATAGAATGGTCGGATAATAGAGGTAGAAATAGAGTAGAATACGTGAGCGTAGGGGTCTTTGTTATCGATCAGCAAGCCAGGTGCACCACGCCCACTTATCAATTAACAACATTTCAAACGACCACGTCGAAACTTTTGGCAAAACAGAAGTCGCAGTTATTTCTCTTCGATGTACTATACGGTATGATCGAACGAGAGTTTTGTGCTTTTAAGAGCCATAAAGAAGTTTTAATAATATAGTCGAACCTCAAGGGAAGAGCTAAAATCTTTGAGTTATAGAGGTTTCGACTCAGCGAAATTTCCGAGTAAAGGAGGTTTAACGAACAAAAATTTAACGCACAGAAACTTTGTACAAAGGCACAATCGAAGATCTCGGTGTAAAAATTGAGCAGACCCAGTTTTTAGAAAAATTGTATTTATTAAAGTTTTATGTATTTTTATACGTTGCCGATTGATTGAAGACGTACGTAAATAAAACATTTTTTTATTATTATTTAATTTGTTCTTTATAATTTGTCCAGCTGGATATTTAAATTTTTATATTAAATTTTTCTAAAAATAAAACGTATATACGCGACCGTGTGCTTCTATTTATCGATGAACATCGAATGTCACGAAATATGAACTGTTTATTTTGAAAGTGGTAAAGTATTTTCTTGCTGCATCGGGAAAATTAAAGGTTAGCATATTAGTCAATTTACAGATATAAATTAATTATGTCAAGTTTGGCAATATTTTTATTAATTTATTAATATGTAATTTGATTATATAAATGTCTTTTAGGCGAATTTAACTAAAACAATATACAGTGGCAAGCAAAAGTGTAAACACACTATGCTGATTTTATGTAAAAGGCGATAATACGACTAATTTTTCAAGTGATCTTAGGATGCTTAGGATCCCCGTCTTGTTGAAATACTACTTCACGTTCATTGTATCCAATAGAATTAACTACAAAAGGTAAATTACTTTGTAGAATGGTCAAATAATGCTCTTTTCGCATTATACCTTCGAACTAAGGGACCAACACCTCTGTGAGTAAAGCAACCCCAACACCTAATTGAGCCACCTCCAAACTTCATAGTTTGCTTTATACCACCTGGTTGATCATTATTCTCCGATGAAGTATAATAGCAGGACCTTCCGTCGGATTCGAATCTCTTAATTTTTGTTTCGTCACTCTATATAACCCTTTTCCAATCTTCGGTCGTCCATTCTTTGTAGGTGTCAACAAATTGTTTTCGTAATTTAATATTTTTGTCTGAAAGTTACCTTCTTTTACTTTCTTTCTGGTTTACTTTCTTTTTCCTTCGCTCATAAACCAATTCTCTTTAAAGAGCGACGAGTAGTCCACTCGCTAGCACTTATTTCGATTTCCTGAGCAGCAATTTTTGGTGCTTTGTAACTATCCGACCGAATACAGTGTGCAATTTCACGTGCTGCTCTATCCGAAATAAGTTGCGGTCTACCGTTTTGTGAAGAAATTGGTGCACTAACATACTTTTTCCTTATTCTTGCAACTATCGTATGACAGACACCACATTTCTCTGCAATTTGCCGCAACGACAAACCTTTATCACACAAACAAATAATACCGTTCTTTTTATCTTCACTAAGTGGCTTCATCTTGGATTAAGCATATCAAACTGAAAAGTAGTCTAACAATGGTGTGGAACAGTTGACTGCGAAACAGTGGGCAATCAGTGCTTATTGACAGTTTCGTTTCCCTGACATTTACATGCTATCATAAACGTTTCTGACGAAACGTGCAAAACTAAACATTGTTTCAAAACACAATTATTATAAAATATTCTGTACATTATTAATGTTAATGAAAATGAACTATTACATTTTGTTAATCAGACGTAGCTTGTAATTACTGTTACCTAATCTTTACCGATCACTTGAAAAATTAGTCGTAGTATCGCCTTTTACATAAAATCAGCGGAGTGTGTTTACACTTTTGCTCGTCAATGTATATTTACAAGCTGTAAATGGACTTGCACCATTTTCATAATTAGTCGATTGTAAAAATCATTTAATTTCAATTCGCTCGTTCCATTTCGTGTAAAGCAAATTTTTTATTTTGTCGACAATGTTTTATAACATCATAATAATCCTGTGGTGTGTATAAGAAATAGACGCATGTGTCTACGGAAATTGGACTTACACCACTTTCATAATCAATCGCTACGCAATGTCTTTCATTGGCCAATTTTAAATTGAACAAAGCATTGGCATTTTTCAAGATATTAAATATTAACTAGCTATAAATAAAAAGTTTACACTAAATTAATCACAAATTATGTCATCTCATTTTTTTACCAAAATGGATTTACACCACTATTAAAATAAACGCTCCATATATTTCTGCTCTTTATTCGCTCGCCGCTACAGAATCCCAATATAACGTTCTCGGACGAATAAGATAGTAGGCTTTAGAAACTAATGGTTAAATTACTACTTTTGTCATTCTCTAATTTTAGCCCTTCAAATCCCTCTTGACAATTTTGATGTTCACACAGGATTCAATTGAATTGAGCAGAATGGAAGATGTTGGTACAAAAATCGGGCAAGTCCATCTTTTACAAAGATTGTACTTGTTGAAGTTTTATATATTTTTATACATCGCCGATTGATCGGTACAAGAATCAGAGAAGTCCAATGCGTTCATAACAATTCCTGGACTTATCCATGTGATCTTTGGGAAGAAGAATCGGCCATGTCCAGAACTTACCCGGCTTTTATTCTCAAATACAGCGTCAACGATGGTGTTAATGTAGCGTCAATCTATCAGCCAATGTGTTTCGAACGTTTAGTAAATCTTTTCTATTAATTGCCTGTCTTTCTTCTTATCGATTCGAAATTTCTTCGGGCTGACAAGAATTATATCAATCACCTGGCAGTAAATACGTGCCAATCAGTTGTCAGTGTTTTATCTGGGAAACTGATTATGGAACACGAAAAAAGGTGAAGCAAAAATAAAGATGCGAAGAAACGAAATATTTCATTTCAAATTTCCAGTATTTTGGTACATGAATCGGGCAAGTCCAAATATCAAGGAAGATTTCCCAGGGACATTTTTCAAAAACGTAATAGATATCATTTTTTTATCATTCGTCACATTAATGTCTTTTTACATCCGAAATATTAGCGTGATTACTTAAAGAAGTCGTATTTGATTCAGTTTTAAAATCTGCACTTGTTCGAGTCGGTTTTTACACCAAGATTACATTCACCCTTTCATAAAGTGTTGGCAATTTAAGCTTTCTCTTAGAGCTCATTTTATTCGACGTATATAAATGCGAAAGTTAAAGACGCGGGAGACTATGGCAATTACGCGTTCGGCCGACGAAGAACAATTACCTTGTATGGATATGGATGGAATTGAAGGCCAAAGAAGCAGGATATCGCTTGTCTTGTTTTTCGAGACAATGCTAACGATTGGAAGAAAGAAGACAACATCGAACGATTGGTTCCTCGCATCTTGAGACACACGGCATAAATACAGGCACACTTCAAGTTGCAGAGGCAGCGGCCAGAGAAGTTCGATTTACGGAGGTAAACTTCGACCTGTAGAGCTCTGATTATTCTATTGAGTTGGTAACTGAGTAATTACAACCTAATGACAAAATCCGCAATCAAATAGATTGCCAACCCAATAAATTAGAGGTTATAGAGGTAAAATACGCATCTGGGTACGTGGCAAATAATTCGAGTTAACTCCTTGCGATACTTTTACGAGTCTGAGTCGTGATGAGAATTTTGAGCCAAACTTAAATATCACGAGTCAGGCTCGTGGTCTAATTTCATGTCAAACATGAATATCATGTGTCTCACTCGTAGTCTTAATTTCGAGCCAAGTATAAATGTATGGGATGGTGTCCTTTTTCTAAACACGAGTGCAACTATCTAGGCACTCAGTCACACGATCCGATGTTTCAAGTTCCGGCACTCTGTCTCCGTTACTTCGGCTCTTTTCCTGACCATTCAGGCGCAACGTTTGGGCCCGGGTTCTTTCGAGTTAAATGGTATGGCAAGGTGTTAAAGTGAGTTTTATTTCAACTTCTAAGGATCACAATTGTAATCTCATAGTCTTCAGAGGTTGGAGTTATCGAGGTTCGAAGAGCTATTGTCGTTTGTCCAACGAAACGATAGAGTGGACATAAAGAAAACGTGATTGCTGCGGCTACTGCTATTGGGTTGATAACTAGCGATACTCGATTATGAGAGTTTACGTTGATAAGTTCGCTAATTCCGTTAGTATGTACAAAATTGTAGCTATTTAATGTTGATCAATTGCAGCTGCGAATAGAATTGATTTATTATATTGTGAAACCAACAATATTCTCTCATGGAAACTGGAAGCACCCAATATGCGAGAATGACGTCAATGCCGCGGCATGATTAATTAAAATGTACTTTACGGAGCCGAGTTTCGAGCTTCGATCTATCTCCTCAACTATATTAGGGATAATAATAATTTTGCATTATGTGGAACATCATTTTTGTGGACTTTTATCGCAGTTAAAATTCCAACGAGAAAAAAAAATGCTCAGGAATGGAAATGCGAGAAGTAGTAAATATAGAGTTTCATTTCCATTATACGTATTTCTCTCTTCTTTAAGAACCTGAATTCGTGCAATGGAATCTCCGATTTCATAAATGTAAAATTTGAGAAAAACATTTCTCTTTATGCAGCTATTTCAGATTACTAAATACCTTTACAGACGTGCAGTGTGGAATTCAGGAATAGCATTATACTACAAACTCAATAAAATATCTGGGTTCATACTTGGACAATAAATTAACTGACTTAGAAACAATACATTAAACAAAAAATAGAACGTATCAAATTAATTAAGGAGCAATTAGACTCGCTTATCTCAATAAAATCGAAACTTAGCAGAAATAACAAAATTTTGATATACAAATGTGTAATCGATGTAGATATATAGAATTCAGCTGTCAAAATGGCAGTCAAGCCACAGATTCAAAATATTGAAAGTCAATGAGCTAAGATCCTCCCTGCAATCATGAACGCGCACTGGAATATTAGAAATCACGATATTTGCAAAGCATTGCCATCCACACTGTATCCTAGAAGAAATCAAATGACTTTCTAACAAACACAAAAGCAAAGTCAAATTTCATGTAAATTCCTCAGTGGCAAATTGCGGCATTTTACTAACTATTACATTGCAGTTAAACTACAATGGCAAACTGTTACTGACATTGTTACACTAGTCTTACTGCATTCAAAAGACTGAAACGAAAAAACTCTTTAGACTTAATATAATTTCTTTCTTAACATAATTTTCCACTCATCATACAAACAACAATACTGCTGTAAATAATATTATTCATGTGACTTTTAGAGTGCTTGTTGCTTGAAGTAGCAGAAGCCACAGGTACTCTTTGCCCTAACTATTTATAACTATTTATGAACTATACTAACTTTAATAATTATACTAACTACTTATAAACATTTATAAGTATTTGTAAATATTATGATACAGATATAAGTAAATATGAAATTGGAAAAAAAATTAAAGATTATAATTTATATAAGGTTTTTCATCTGAGAGTTACAAATGAAATGGAACATTTATATTAGAACCTCTAACTTCATTGTAATTCAACTTGTATCAACATAGAGAAAAAAATTATAGGAAGAGATTTTTTATTTCGGATGGAATGGTAGTATTCGTAAAAACTATTAAACTTAAGAGTAGCAAGTGGTGAATCCGCTTATCCTCTGTCACGATCCCGACTATACCGAAGTGCTGTATCATAATCCACTTTGTCAACTCTTATAAAACTTTTCCCATATTCACTCCACCACGGACAGTGATACATTGTCGTACTTTTCGCGAAT